AAGAAGTGCTAGAAAAAAATTAATACATTCAGACCGACTATTCACAAACACCAGTGTTGTGATACTGAAAAACAAAGATACCAAAATTAATAGCATTGAGAAAAGCATTACATTTTTTTAATAGCTGCCCAACATCAGGGAACCTGTTCGTGGTGATGACAGAGTGCTGTATCCGGAGCTTGTACTTGAGCAGCTTGATGACACCGAAATGCTACCATTCACGCAGGGACGAAATTCACGGAAATGATCCCAGTTGGACTGGCAGGTCAGTGCCGAAGCAGCAGACCGGGATGCCTCGTCGGCTTCATCGTCCATGTCTGCTGCTGCTGCTGTTCCGTCGGCGCCATGCTTTCCATTTTGCATAAATGCATATTTCAGATGCGACTCACTGGCGCCCGTGCTTGGCATTGCGTAACGCGTTACCGGATGCTGCTCGACGTGAATTTCCAGCTTCGCTGGTATACTTCCCAATTTGTGACGGCTGGCATTCAGCTCGTTGACTGGCAGCGGAAGCGATGTATTGCCTTCAGAAAGCCACGGATGGTAAAGAACATCCTCCAAGCTACAGCGCTCATCTGGATCGTGTTTCAGACACTCCAGAATCAGGTCTTTGCATGCTGAAATGCAAAATTGCAATTACTACAACTAACAAATGATGGAATACCGTGGCTGCTGATTTTTTGAAACCAGCCCAACAACAGCGTTGATGTCCCAGGACGTGATTTCGAATGAATTTGCGCACAAGCCCCGCTGTGGTCACTATCGTCTTGAACGAGCGGGACTGAACAAATGAAAAAAACGACTATTTTACAGTATATGAAACGAAAAATTACACTGCGAAATCTTCCGCCGCCAAATCAGCGGTGCTGGACGAATTATGTCCTCATCACAGTGGAATGGAATATCGCCGCAAACCATATCGTACAGTAGGATACCTAACGACCAGACCGTAGCTTTGCAGCTGTCATATCTGCACTGAAGGATCCATTCGGGCGGGCTGTAGACGCGTGTCCCTGAAAAGCACATTTGCAATGAACAAATAATTTATGCGCTCTTATTTCAAAGTTAGGCAGTGAGCAGAGCGAGTGTAACTTACCTTCAAAATCTGTAAAATGTTGTCCCAGTGGCTTGCAGTAAGCGCCGGAACCGAAATCAATCAGTTTCAGTTGGCCAGTTTTCAAATTTACCACCAAATTTTCATCTTTGATGTCACGGTGCACAACGTTCACATCTGAGCAGGCTGCAGCTGTATCTACCACCTGTAAATAACAAAGAGTTTAGAAAAATCAACCAATTCATAAAATCACAATGGTGCCACATCCACGCGGCCACGATTTTAGCCTGTGAACTTAGCCAACTTCCTGCTGCCTCATTATGAATGACTAATCAACGAGAAACGATCTACACTCTCTATTGCTAAGCAGATTGTAGCATCCAGGTTGACCTTGGAAGTGCAGATGGCAAGGTGTGAAGGAGTTCAGGAGAAAGTAGTAGTGTAGATTAGAGAAGGTGAGAGCGAGATAAGACGTTTCGGTCCAGTAAGTCATATCTGCTAATGCTTCATACGGTTCATATCGATTCAAATCGGCTAAATTTTGTACGATTATGTTCGCAAATTTTGAATTTTTTTGAACAACGACAGTTGTCAAGTGCACATCCATCATTCAAAACACTGTACCAACGTCGGATTTCATGGCAGAAATTTGAATTAGTTATTGCAAAAGACTAACAAAGGATTTGCAAAATTCTCTAGGCTAAAGAAAAGCGCCTAAGAGTAGAGCGCATCACCTGCTTAAAAAATATTCGTGCAACAGATTCATCGAGCCAACCGCGTTCCGATATGTAATCAAATAGGTCTTGGCACGGTGTTGGTCGTTCCATAACCATTAGAAATCCGTCTTTTCGCTCGAACCAATCATAGATTCGTATAACTCCAGGGATACTCATACACTCCATCAAAAGGACTATTTCCAGGGGCAAAACTTCCCGACCGAACACTGAAGCCTGCAAAATAAAAAACACATTAACAAGAAGTGCGCATCAAATCGCCCAGTTTACACCCCCTCAGAAAAAAGTCGACCACAAAAAGCAATGTAACAGAAAGAGAAGCAGCATATGTGAAGTGCAAACCTCCGTCCATTTTTTGATATTATTCATTGCGACAAACTTCACAGCCACCGGTAAGCCATCAGTAATCCTAAAGCCGGAATACACAGTCCCAAATCCACCACGTCCCAATTCGGGCCCAAGCTTGTACTGCTTTTTGAAAGCTTCATAGTCATGCTCTGAAAAACCACAAAGCCCTTATTCACCGGATAAATCAGAAGCAACAAATTCAGGAAACAGCCAACTTGACAACTACAGTAATTTGCCAGCGCACCGACTGCTGGTGCGAAGATGCATTTTTTTGCATAGTCCTCGCAGATCTCTGTCGCCAATGGCGCTGTTTTTTTTTTTTTTTCTGGCAGATTCTTCTAACTAAAAGAATTGAGACTGGCCATCAGGACTGTCAGAAAA